CTATTCACTTTAAGGGCCATTTCTTTAGGCCACGACCTATTTCTACAGCGTACTGTCCAACCTTACTACCATTCTAAATCTTTTTATCTATAGGAAGCTTTTGTAAATGCACATGTTGATGAACACTAGTGAAACAGCAGGACAAAAAGTTTAAGTTTGACCGAGATTTGAATTTCATAAAAAGCCCTAAAAATCAGACTTAGATCCAAATGATCATTTTTCAACGCGTATATCTCGGTAATGAGACATGATTAAGACGATAAATTTCAATCAAATATATTTGCAAGTGTCTACTATAGAATGATGTAACCGCGAGCAGTACAAATAGTTGTGTTTTTTTCTGGTAGAGATCATACTAACGTAAGAGCAAAAAGCAGTTTTTCGGTCAAGTTTCCAGGCCCGTTCTATTAAAACAGAATAAAAAGTTAGAACTTCTAATTATATTTTTAAATAGATCTAGCTATGGGTTGATTATGAAAAAGTTTAGAATTAGCTTCTATTATCCCATTATAATACCGTGTTGTACTCATAGTATACTCCATATATATCATAGGGGGCATGAAATTCATTCCATTCGTTGGTGGAAAAGTGCTCGAAAATAACAAAATGACGCATTTTGCTCCAAATTTCACCTCTGAAGTTCAAGAGTTCAGGTACGAAACCATATGACCTTAAAAACTTTGTTGTAAACAATTATCCAAGTCTTTCGGAAAATCATCTAAGTTGGATTAGTGAAGACCGAAAAACTGTCTCTTGCATTCAAAACTTATTCAAAAAACATTTTACTGTCTATTATTTTTTAATGTACAGTAGCTCAATACTCTGGCTTGAAGCATTTGCTACAAATGTTCATCCTTTGCCTACCGACATCACCAATGACGGCGTGTAGATCTAATTATATTTGTTTATTTAGACGCCGTGCAACACGATATAATGAAGCAAGAAGTACTCGCACAAAATGCCCTACCAATATTGATTGAATGTATAAAAATGTTTTCTGGAGACGATTTAAGTTATTGTCTAGAGTTGATGTGGGCTATAACATTTAATAATGAAGTTGCAACAACGATAAAAAATGATCAAGCTCTGCTTGCGCTTATCAAATCTCTTAGCGCATCAGACCACAACGGTATAAAAAAAACAGCTGAAGGTATTATATGGAAATTGGAAAAAGAAGCAGAATTTGTATCAAAGCAGGAACCAATAGAATCGGTTAAAAGTGCGAATACGTCAACCAGTAACGTAGTACAACTCATAAATGATACAAAAACAATGCCACAATCTGATGAAATAAAGCTAAAGACTCAAAGTGTTCGTGGGGGAGAATCGGAACAAACAACTTTATCTGAGCCGACTAAGTCATCGTTCAGATATGACATTATGATCAGTTATTCTCATGAAGAGAAAGAATTATGTTATAAAATTTATGATCATTTACTTAAAAATAATTACCGTGTTTGGCTGGATCGAGATGATATGTTTGGTTCAACAATGCAGGCGATGGCAGAAGCTGTTGAAAATTCACAATTTATCCTTGTTTGTATGTCACCCAAATATAGACAGAGCCCTAATTGTCAAGCTGAAGCAGAATATGCGTTTAATCGCCGATGTCATATAATACCATTGGTACTGAAGCCAAACTTTAAACCCGATGGATGGCTTGGGTTAATAGCAGGATCAAAAATGTACATTGATTTCACGAAAGCAGATTTTCATACAGCTTATCAAAAATTATTGACCGAAATTCAGCGATATGTACGTTCTAACAATAAAAGTGGAGAACAGCTGAAGCCCATTGGAAATCATGAATTTGATAATGAAAAAAAAGTAATTTTACCCAACGTTACAGCCTACATATCCACATATTCAACAAAAACTTTAGAAAAATGGACAACTCAAGAAATTACTGAATTTCTTCGGGATAAAAGACTTGACTTAATGATACCACTTTGCGAAAATATGGACGGTTATTCTTTACATCATTTTTATCAAACATGTCAATTGCATTCAGATGTCGTCTATCAATCGTTACAATCCCAATTACTCGAATCAAAAAATTTGCGTTTACCAATAACCGATTATTTTCGATTCGTTGGAGAATTGAAAAAATATGCACCTCTATCAAAAGAAATATCCGCTATATGTTGTATAACATAAACACTCATAGCCGGTTTATAGTGAACAGCTAAACAGCACTAAAAAATGTAGCATTTATGCTGATTAAATATAATAGGACCCTAAAACAATATCATATTTTTACTTAACACTGGTTTCTTATATGCGGATTATCCTATGACAGAGACTCCGTGAAAGAAGCGATGAGTACACCTGTAACACTTAGCATCAAAGGCCGTCCTGATAGAACTAAAGTTTAATCCTCATTTTAATCCTGTTATATCAGTCGTCACTGACATTCCTTGTTCTTCCTCTTTTCTGTTCTCACGGCCACAAAGAATGTCGACTCAGTTCTTGTTGAGTGAGCATTCTCTCATCGTCTATATATAGTGTTTATTTGTACACACCAAGGGAGTTTTTGTTTTAATGTTCTGTGTGATTTTATTCTTTCAAATAAAATCTGTGGAGGCCAACAAATCTCTCACCAGAAACTTGTTTTCTTTGTGCATCAACTCGATTGATCGAAGATATATCATCCGTAATGTTCAACAATAAACTGATAAACATGAAACAAGTAGTAAACTAATCATTAATCTGTCATCAGACTACCAATTGCATTGCTCATACTCATTATATATACATCTGTACAAGCACAGTTTATATTGAAAACCGACCACTCGAACAGTATAATGACTTATACAAATAAAATCCCAGAACTCTATCATATCCATTAACAAAAGAATTGCAATCAAACACGGACAATTTATTCAATTAACCTCGACATTTCATCAAATATGTTCAAGTATATTTCCTCGTGGATGAGCAGTGGTCTATTTCAACGTTAAGACTATGATCTGCTTTTCCAAGATCTTCTCAGAGCTCTACTTCAAGAAAGCTTTTCAAAACCGCTTTCTGTTGCAAAAAGATGCCTCTAAAGCTCCTCCTGCGAATGGTGAAAATCCCAGTTCTCTTGCTATCCATGTCCAAAGTTATACGGAAAGTGACCAAGTGCACTGGGTTGTTTCACCGATAATAGTTAAGATCTCATCCAATGATATAATAATCCGTTGATACCATTGTTTTAGCAATGAATATTCGTTTCACCAGTGTTCATCAACATGTGCATTTACAAAAGCTTCCTATAGATAAAAAGATTTAGAATGGTAGTAAGGTTGGACAGTACGCTGTAGAAATAGGTCGTGGCCTAAAGAAATGGCCCTTAAAGTGAATAG